TGGTAGATCTGTTTCCTATACTTTCCTGGAACATAATGTTATGAACAGTTTTGCTGCAGATAGAAGTGGTAGGAGAAAGTAGTGCTGAGGTCATTTCTCAAATTTTAAAATATAATAATCTTACACACTTAATCTTCAGTTCCCAGCTGTCTCTTATCTTGCCAACCAGCCAACTTTATTGTTCTTGGAGCAGAAAAGCCATTTTTCATAACAATACACATTCTTATTTTGTCATCTAAGAATTACCTACTTGCCTACATCTGTTGATATTTGAATCCAAGCTTTTGAACACAGAGAGCTACTTCCTCCCTGTCCCAAGTATATATAATTTAAAAATTTTTTAAGATTTTAAGAGTAAGATCTTGTTATGTGTAATAAGAAACACATTTAGATTCTCAGCTGAATTTCTTGTTTTCACTGGACTATTTTATATCTCCCTTTGCTAAGTGCAAATATGTACTTACTGAAGTAGTAAAGACCTTTAATTTAATGAATGGTGGTTTGTGAGGCAATGATTAAAATCTGTGAAGGGGCCAGGCATGGTGGCTCACACCTGTAATCCCAGCACTTTGGGAGGCTGAGGTGCGCGGATCACCTGAGGACAGGAGATCAAGACCACCCTGACCAACATGGAGAAACCCCATCTCTACTAAAAATGCAAAATTAGTTGGGCATGGTGGCACATGCCTGTAATCCCAGCTACTTGGGAGGCTGAGGCAGGAGAATCCCTTGAACCCAGGAGGCAGAGGTTGCGGTGAGCTGAGATCGCGCCATTGCACTTTAGCCTGGGCAACAAAAGCAAAACTCTATCTCAAAAAAAAAAAAATCCATGAATTAACAACTTATGAACTCAGTTGTATGAGGTGAGTGACTGGCAGGACTTTTTATTCTGTTTACAACCCCGATGACCAAAACAAAATCTTGTCCAGCCAGGATAAAGTGAAGAAACTGACAATAACAAGCAGATGGCAATGAAAATGATCTCTAGCTGCCCTCATTGCTCATTGGCATAAGACACACCCACCAGTCCACCAGTGCCATGACAAATTACAAATGCCATGGTAATGGCCCAAAAGTTACTACCATTTTGCAAAGCAACAACTCAGAAATTACTGCCCCTTTCTTAGAAAGTTTTAAGTAACCTGCTCCTCAATTTGCATTGACCCACCCATTAATTTGCACATAATCGAAAGTGGATTTACAGGAGTATAAGTACAGCTGCCAAGAGCCCATACATTAGCAAATCTGGGTGCACTGCCTATGAGTTAGCCCTGCTCTGCAAAGAGCGGTATCATTCAATAAAAGATTGCTGTCTAACACCGCCAGCAGCTTGCTCTTGAATTCTTTCCTGGGTGAACCCAATAATTCTTTTGGGCTAAACTCCAATTTTGGGGCTTGCCTGTCCTGAAACAATACATCTGAAACAGAGAGGTAATGGAATTATCTTTCATAAAGGTCTGTGTGCTATACATTCCAAAAGACCAAGAATTCTACAAGTTAGGTAGGGGTGACATCTAAAAAGGTTCATAGCAAATAATTGCTTTATTTCCAACCAATTTCCTCTATATATTATACCTATAAATAACTGTTTTTCAAACAAAATTATATTATTTTTGCTACAAATAATCCATTAAGAGAAATAAAAATTATATTCATTTTCTATAGCATTTATTAACTAGGCTTAATTGATTTATCAAATAAAATTACATTGTGAAAATGAATATGACATAAAAAATAAATATATATTTTTATGCCTGTGATTACACTTTCTTCTGAGTTTGGGGCATAATTTCCAGATGAGACTTATATATACAAAAGGGATAGTTTATAAAAAATAGTTTCACATTTTTACATATATAAATATTCTACTGTTACAAGTACCTGGAGTGAGCAACTGCGCATTCTCTAAGTTCTCATGCTTGATAGTTTTAAATGTGAAGTTCAGGTGAAAAAACAATTATTGGTTGTGAAGTCAGCCAAAAATCAAATACAGTAGGCCTTTTTACTTATATTCATCTCTTAATTGTATATTGAGAGTATACAAAGTAAAAATGTATAAGCTTATACCGTAATAACTGTTTTTTTTCCCCCAGAATATTACTGGTAAGTAGGAAAGACAACTAATTGAATTACATTTTACTACCCTTTCTCTTTCTATCTGGTGGACATAATAATATTATTCGAATTATTAAGAGGCTGGCAGTAAGGGATAAATACTAGCAAAGTAAATAATAGTTCATACATGGAATTACAAAGAGTTTAACCATTGAGTACAAAACCCAGGAGATCCAATTTATACATTATATATAATTTAAATAATTTATATAAAAACTATTTTATGGTTTTTCTGTCTTCAAATTCTGTTCATTCTACTTCCTTAGTATTCATAAGTGTTTCCTTTTAATATCCCTCCACTGCAGAGTTTATTCTTTTATTTTTCATGGATGAATTATTCCATTAATTTTTAACCTAGACACCCTTCTCTTATGTTCTTGCCATTTCCATTTTTTTACTACCACCAATATGATCTTTCTAAAAGAGGATTCTGGTTTAGATGATTTCACCACTTAAAAGAAAAAAAAAAAAGCAAAGAAAGAAAAGACAAGAGAAAACATTTTCATCTTCCCCACTAACTCTTGACTAAAGTCTAAACATCTTAGTAAAGGCATTTAAGAGCTCTTCGCAATATCCATTTCATATGTAAACTTTTCATTAAAGACTCTGCAGTCATGATTTGTTACACTTGATTACTAATTTTATTCCTTATTTAGCATTTGGATTCAATTTGCACTTTACTTTTGTCAAATACCATAGTGCTCTGTATTATCACCACTTCAGTTATTACATATCATACCCCATAAATAAAAACTATTTAGGGATAGATGCCACTGTAGCTGCTAAATTACACATTGAAGGTGCTAAAAATTTGACTGAATTTTAATTGATTTAAGTGAATATATGTGGGTTTTGTGTTTATCTGTGTGTGTATATATATATACTATGTGTTTACATATTTATATATACACACGAATGCCAATGGATGAGATGAAAAATTTCATCTTTGTAACTTTACCTTCACTATTCTATATTACTTCCCAGCATTGGATTTCTGAAATGGGTCTCAATGAACTAAAATGAAGGTATCAGTAGGACTGGATTTCTTTTGCGAGAGAATCCAAATAACTTTTCCTTTTTCAGTTCATAGAGGTTGCCCATATTCCTTGCTTATCGACCACTTTTGTATATCAAAATTGGGCCAAGTCCTTTTTATGCCACAGTCTCTCGCTTCCACTTCCCTATTCCAGTATTAAGGACCCTGTATTTAACTAAATAAGATAACCTCCGTATTTTCAGGTCAACTCATTATTAACTTCAATTCCATCTGCAACATAATCTAATCCCCTTTGCCATGTACATTCTCAGATCCTGTGGATTAGGCTGTGAATATCTTTGGGTATGGCATTATTTGGCCAACCACATACATTATCACTTTACCTTAAATTTATATGGTATAAATATTCCAATTAAAATGCAGAGATTATCATATTGGCATTAAATAAAAAACAAGACCAAAAGTATTCTGTCTATAGAACAATCCCCTTTTAGCATAAAAATATAGAAAGTTTAAAAAGTAAAAATAACATATGCAAATATTAATGAAAAGAGAGCTGGAAGACTATATTAATATCCCACAAAGCATATTTCAAAATGACTTTCACAAGGGATAAAGAGATGGCCAGGCACAGTGACTCATGCCTGTAATCCCAGCACTTTGGGAGTCTGAAGCAGGTGGATCACCTGAGCCCAGGAGTTCAAGACCAGCCTGACCAACATAGTGAAATTCTATCTCTACTGCAAATACAAAAATTAGCTGGGTATGGTGGCCCATGTCTGTAGTCCCAGCCACTTGGGAGACTGAGGCATGGAATCACTTGAATCCCAGAGGTAGAATTTGCAGTGAGCCAAGATCTTGCCATTGAACTTCAGCCTAAGTGACAGAGAAAAAGCAAGACTCTGTCTAAAAAAAAATGGATAAAGAAAAATTTTAATTTTATAGTGATAAAGGGCCTATCTGAAGAAGACATAAAAATACCAAATATGTATGGAACCAATCACAAAATGTTAAAGTACTGATAGAACTTTAAAGACTGATAGAACTAAAAGGAAAAATGGACAAACCTACAGATACATATTGTACTCCTTTTGCAGTAATTGGTAAGATAGAAAAAGTAAATAGAAGGTCTCTAAGGATATAGAAGCCTTGAACATCAGTATCAAGCAAATTGTTCCGATTGATATTTATAAAGAAGTCCATCAAATAAGCAGAAAAGAGAGTCGTTCCAAGTGTACCTGGAGCAATCAAAGAGATAGGCCATCTTACGTACCACAAAACAAGCCTGCAAAATGTTACAAATGGAAGTAGTACAAAGTATGTTATATGAATGTAATGGAACTGAACTATACATCAAAAAATAGAAGGAAAACTGGAAAATCCCCGAATGTTTGGCAAGGTCACAAAATAAGTCACCAGAGAAACTATCCGAAATAAATGAAAACATATGTCCACACAAAGATGTATACCCAACTCTTCCTAACATTCATAGCACAGAGAAAAAAATTTACTGTAAACTAGATTTTATGCATTTTCTCCTATTCTCTGATGCAGAATAATCTTTTCAAATGCTTTTTTTTTTTTTTTTTTTTTGCATCTTACAGTGGACCAAAAGATGGTACTATTTCTTTGGAAAATTTCTGTCAACTGGAACTATACAATTTAATTTTTTAAAAATGTGTTTGCTCAAGGATTGTGTTTTATTTGCTCTTTTGCTTTTATTTTTGACCTATAGATGTCAGCTTCAAAGATTTGGTGCACCAGTAACTTTTGGCTCAAATCACCTATGGCAATTTAAAAGCCATTCTTGTCCTCATCAATAGATTGTTTACGTCTCCTCAGGGTCTTTATCATGTTTGCTAAGAAAGGAAAATGATGTTTCTTTTAGATGACCTGTGAAAACTGAAGGCAATTTGGAGGGCATTTTTAAGTTCCGTGGAGCCACTGGAGAAATGTATACAGGAATGATGACTTAAAATTCCTCAGTGGTAAGGTAGGAACTGAGCTTCCATTCTTCCAGTTTGTTTTTCAGTTGTCCTGTGTTCACTCAGAGTTATTTTTAAGCTGCTTTAAGCTTTTTATTATTTGGAAAGTTATAATTTCTTTGTTACTTAAATAAGGCTGCATTACCATTTAGACTCTAATAGTGGATTTATTTCATTATTTCTTTTCTCTTTTGGGAAATTGTGAATTCTTTTAACCCTCTCATTAGTTTTTCACACATAAACTGGTGAAACTCCATATTAAATGACTGCAGTTTCAATAACTAAGGTACAAGAATTTCAAAATCCTTTATAACTTAAAATATACACACTTACATATATGTCGCCACTACCAGCACCATCACAAACAAGAACCAAAAACCTTGGGTTTGAAAGCTGATGGAATTGAATTGTTCATTCAATATTTGCTATGTGTTGGTATGAAGAAACACTGTTGTTTTTCTTCCTTTCTCAATGTTTTATGGGTTTCTTTGGAATAACACATTTTAAAACTCTTGAAAAAATTTAACAAATTCTTGACAATTTATGAAATAAACTAGAAAAGTGATTTTTTTTCTTTTTTCTTGGAGACAAAGTCTCACTCTGTCACCCAATCTAGAGTGCAATGCCACCATCTCAGCTCACTGCAACCTTCACCTCTCAGGTTGAAGCCATCCTCCCACCTCAGCCTCCCAGGTAGCTGGGACTACAGGCATGCACCACCATGCTTAGATTTTTTTTTTTTTTTTTTTGAGACAGAGTCTCACTTTGTCACCCAGGCTGGAGAGCGGTAGTGTATTCGCGGCTCACTGTAGCCTCAGCTTCCTGGGTTCAAGCGATCCTTCTGCCTCAGTCTCCAAGTAGCTTAACTATAGGCATGCACCACCACACCCACCTAATTTTTGTATATTTTGTAGATACAGAGTTTTGCCATGTTGGCCCGGTGGTCTCGAACTCCTGAGCTCAAGCCATCCTCCTGCCTCGGTCTCCCAAAATGCTTGGATTACAGGAGTGAGCCACCGTGCCTAGCCTGATTTTTCTTTTCTGTTGAATTTCTTTATATCTGATTTTGTGTGAATTTCTGAAAAGAAGTATTCAACTAAAGGAATACCCTCTTGCATTATTAAATGTGGCAATGTCTATGTTCTCAGCCTGCCCAGCATCTCTACCCTTTTCTGTACAGGGCTCACAGGGTCACAAGCTGGATGAGACACACACACATACACACACACACACAAACACACACTAACACACATACAAATATGATATATTTCTTCCGTCTAAGGCTTGAGATCTCTTACTCAGGGAAACTTTAAAAATCCTTGTTGCAATATCCTTATACTACTCCTTATGCTATCTGTAACTCTCAATTCGCTAGTTAGAAATATGACTGACCCCGAACACCAGTATTTCGGTAATGGCAATATAGAGAGGTATAAAAGACTGCTGGCAGTCCTTCCAGACAGCAGAATTTGATTGGTGGACATAAAGTTTCTGAGAGTATTTGGAAAGGTCTAATCTAGAGTGGAAACAAACACTAAAATAGAGTCCCAAGGAACCTGGAAAGAAACTTTGTTGTCAAATTTGGTCAAGATGAAGTGCTTAAATACCACACTACGTAAAACATATTCAGGAGTGGAGCCATCTCTGCCTCCTCCTTTCTTTCTCCTCCTCTTCTTCCCTTTCCTCCTCCTCTATTTTATTTTATCTTTTTGAGAGGGAGTCTCGCTCTGCCTCCCAGGCTGCAGTGCAGTGGCGCCATCTCGGCTCACTGCAAGCTCCGCCTCCCGAGTTCACGCCATTCTCTTGCCTCAACCTCCCTAGTAGCTGGGACTACAGGCACCCAACACCACGCCCGGCTAATTTTTTTGTATTTTCAGTAGAGACGGGGTTTCACCATGTTAGCTAGGATGGTCCTGATCTCCTGACCTCGTGATCCGCCTGCCTCGGCCTCCCAATGTGCTGGGATTACAGTCGTGAGCCACAGCGCCTGGCCCCTCCTCCTCTTATTTTTATTTCAGGAAGAAGCATCATGCTATCTGGAGGTATGAGTAGAAATAGAGTAGCAGATCTTTCTCTATTCATTTCAAATGCAAGTTGTAATGGTTTTTAATGAAATATATCTCTGTGAGGAAAACTTTTACACATTAACAATAATTATAGTTATCACTTGCTGAATATCTATCTTTCTGCATTATTTATTTCGATGAACCAAATTAAACATTTCGACAATTCTTCCAGTTAAATATTAGTGTGTCCATTTTAAGGTTAAGGAAACCAAGGATTAGAGAGGTTGTATAACTCATTGAAGCTGCGTAGCGAGTGCGAGATTCAAATTCAGGTACTTCTCTCTCTAATGCCATATTTTTCTACTTTAATATTTTATCTACTTTTTCTCAACAAGTAGAAGACAGGGTTATTTATTTTCTGTACTGAAAGTACATATTATACTAGGGAGTTAGGTGTCAGTATTTTCATTCTGTCAATATGTTGGAATGAGTGTTGACCAATGACACTCAAGAAATCTCTCATCATTCACAGAAGCCCTTGTGCTTTAATATTCGAGGTAAAATTTTAGCATTTTCTTTTACTATGCTTGAATGCAATGGGCTATGTAATCCAGATAAAGGGAAATTAGGATACCAAAGCATTATAGACAAAGCACTTTAAATTTTTGAAAGAATGAGGAACAATTTTACTCGAGAGAATACTCTTTTCTGGTTAGAACAGGTGGTGTGTGAAACTTACTAAAGTGATGAATAATGAGTCCTTTATTCATCTGTCTGTATTGAAATAGCTATCTTAACTGAGATTAATATTATCAATTTTGTTTGACCAGTTTTATACTTCAAAGTAGAAATAATTGCACTCTTGGTAATATGTTACTATTATGTTTCTGTCTAATTATATTGGGTTATAAGGAAAGACTTACATGAAGAAGAGGGATAAGAAAAGGAAAACAGAGACAAGGATGATGAAAAAGAAAAAGCGTCAGCTATAACTGTCTTATTTCATGGGGTTGTATTTTTTCCTTTATTTTTATTTTTATTTTTTTAAGATCTGAATACCATGTGGAAGATGCTGACTCCTGGACCACAGTTGGGTTCATTTTATTTGTAAGAAACAATATTACTTCTTATCGAAGGAAGAAATCTGGGCCTGGGCAGTGTGGGGTGAGTGGCCCCCAAGTTGTGAATCATCTGAAGTCCTAACTCCAGACATTCCCTTGGCCTTTCACTGCTTATCTCCTGTTCCATCGTACAAGGAGAATACAGGAGAAGGAAATGAAAGTCTTCCTCAATTAACCCAAATATCTAAAAATGAGTGACTGATCACTGATTATTGTTTCAATTTTGTCTAAGTATGAAGCATAGATTATATACATTTAACAGTGAATTTGATAAAAACAGAATATGAACATTACCTCCAGTTTTAGCCCAAACCTTTAAAGAGCTTAGCATTTGCAATTCCCATTCTTAAAATAAGAAATAGTTAAAGAAACTTAAAAATCGATGACTTTTCATGTACCCATCAGAGAACTGATATTACAGGGCAAACTGTCACCCTCAAATCTAGGAATACAGGCAAATTCAGATTTGCAGAGAACTGCTTACCTGGAACAGAAGCCTCTGGGGCCATAAACTAGTAGGAAAACTTAAGAGGTAATTATGAAAACTTCTGGATCCTGAATGTGGGTAATCCTTAGAGTGGAAAGTCCCAGGGTTCCTATCTTAGGGACTGTTACCTCAAAGAACCTCATCTTGTTCCCATGAGGAAGAAAAGAAAACGGTTTCCTCCTATCTCTGGCAAGAACGGAAATAACAATTATTGCAAAATATGCCCAGTGCATTATCTGTAACAAATGTCTACCCACCAGGAGAAAGACTTTACCAGAGCCTTGTCTAAGCTTGGAAATCACGTTCTTTTCATGCTAGCACCTTCTAGCAGTCTTGTCTTACATAAATGGCACAGAGATGGGAAAGCTATATCATGAGAAAAATGCTTGTGAAGGTCACAGGTCAGAGACACAGGCCCGCTAAAAGAATGAGATTTCACGTGAGATTATAATGTGCTTTTCCTACCCCATACCTGACCATTATTAGGTCAGGTCTTCAGTTAATAACAGTGGATTATATCTGAAATTACTACAACATGCAGAATCTGTCTGAAGAAGACTATTTAGGGAATCCCAAAGTCAAAAAAATAAACACAAATAAGAGTACTGCAGGAATACAAAGGACTATGGCATCTAAAACTATAGCAAACATTAAACACAGCCCAACTCCTACCCAGATTAATATAAGTCCTGACATTAAAGGCTGATATACCTCAGTTCTGTTAACTGATACAAGTTGGACTTTAAACAAAAAATTATAAGACATTTTAAAAGGCCAACAAAATAGTACTTAAAGCCAAAGTAAGCAGCAGAAACAGTCTCAGGAATGACACAGATGTTGGAATCATCAGAGGATTTTTAAAAATAATTAAGAAGTTAAGAACTCATAGAGAAAAGTAGTCAACATGCAATAACAGTTAATGTAAGCAGAGATACACAAACTCCAAGAGAGCATTTTGTAACCATTCTGAATGCGCAGGATTCACTCTCAGTCAATATTTAATTCAGATGTTGAGACTGAGGATGTGAAACACACTCCAAAAGAGCTTAAAAAATTCTTACTTACAGAATTCAAGTCTTTGTGGACAATGGGATGCAGGCCTCCCAAGTAGGTCCACAATGGTTTATGAAGAAAGGAAAGGAGACTGCCTTTGGGTTTTGCTTGTGGTTAGAAAGTGAGATTGAGGGCCGGGTGCGGTGGCTCAAGCCTGTAATCCCAGCACTTTGAGAGGCCGAGACGGGCGGATCACGAGGTCAGGAGATCCAGACCATCCTGGCTAACACGGTGAAACCCCGTCTCTACTAAAAACTACAAAAAACTAGCTGGGCGAGGTGGCAGGCGCCTGTAGTCCCAGCTACTCGGGAGGCTGAGGCAGGAGAA